TTAGACGAGAAGGTAACGTTTCTTGAAGCGCGTATTTGTCATCCTGCAAGTATATACATGTGTGCAGCTTGTGTATGTGTGTGTATCATATATATATATGTGTGTATCATATATATATATAATATATATATATATATATATATATATATATATATATATATATATATATGTGTGTGTGTGTGTGTGTGCGTGTGTGTATATATATATATGTGTGTATCATATATATATGTGTGCGTATCATATATATGTGTGCGTGTGTGTCATATATATGTGTGCGTGTGTGTCATATATATGTGTGTGTCATATATATGTGTGTATCATATATATGTGTGTGTGTATCATATATCATATATATGTGTATCATATATCATATATATGTATCATATATCATATATATGTGTGTGTGTATCATATATCATATATATATATATGTGTGTGTGTATCGTGTGTGTGTGTATCATATATGTGTATCGTGTGCAGCTTGTGTCTGAACAAATAAGCAAACCAGAAAATTACATTGTAATGTTCAAGACAGACTTCCTTTCACTTGTGAGGTTTTGAAAACTTAATTCATAGACAGTACTTCCCAGCTGCATTTCATATTTTACGCCGACATTTACTAAAGGGCTCCTAACGTTCTCGTGAGATCATCGTCTTATTCGATTCCTGGGAGCTTTGCCACACTCTTGCTGTTTTGATTCCATTTGGTACTTCTAGATACAATTTTGCTGGTTCTTGCAAAAAATTCAATCAATTTTGAACTTAAGCGATTAACGTTCAAGTGTAGGAAAACTGAACTGACAATTAGATTAACTTTTTCAGTAGGTGGTACAGATACGTCAATACTATGCAAAGAGCTTTGCATCTAGTAGGTAAAACCGTATATTACTTTCTTAATTTGATTAAGAACCGCTGTAGTGCTTGACGAGGATAGAGAAGCTCTAGTATTGCGCTTATCTCGATTACTTTATAGAATCTCAAGTGGATAGACAAAAGAATGATAGACAAATCAAGCCTTTGCTAGATTACATAACTAAAAGATCTTTGTTATGATCAGCTGTCAAAGATATTGAACCGAATCTTGGGTCATCTACGCTCTCTGAAATATTTCTGTTCGCATTGCTTCCACACAAATCTATAAGTGCAATGAAAAATCTTCCCAAACATCAGTCCTCAAAGCAATAGTGCCAAATAATGGGCGTAGATAGGTTCGCCTATCATCCTATTCACACTCCTCCACAGTTTTCTAAACAGGAGAAGTTTAGGATTGGGTTTCTAGTTCCTTCCAAAGTTTGCTTCAGCTCAGTTCCTAACGTCTCTACCTGAACTCTTCATCCACTAATTATTCATTTTTTTTTCTCCTTCAATAGGAATAGATAGGTTTGTCTTTGACCCGGTTCACACCCCTCCACAGTTTTTCGGACAGGAGTAGAGGTTTATCCCTTGTTTCCTGTTTGGGATTGGGTTTCCGGTCTCGTCTAAAGTCGACTTCCGCACTAACATCATTACCATCCTTCAACCTTGGTCGGAACTCCAAAGACAATCCCTTTCCACGCTGTTCGGTCCTGTATTACGCTTCCCAGATCCCCAATGTCCAACCTTGAGTCCCGAGCTATAGTGTCTGGGGAAAGTCAATTTTCTTGAAGACACTTCCAGGAGGATGCCATAGGAGTAAGGATGAGACGATTTCCCGGTCAGCTCGATGGCAATGACCGGCAAACTGTTCTCGTTTTTTTTTTTTTTTTTTTTTTTTGAGCTTAAGAGAAATTGGTCTCAGTTCTCCGTAAATTGGGTTAAACAAAATGTTGTAGAGTAATTTTCACAGTGGAGGCTTGTATTGCAATAAGTCGTCCTAAATTAGGTTCGACGTACAAAACGTTAGGAACTTGAAATAAAAGTTAATGACGCAGCAATTTAGTTGTGATGGTTGGTACTTCAATGTCCCATATCGACTGACTCGCTCAACACCACTGAGCCCAACTGGCCACTGCTACTACTACTTATTATCTGTGGGAGTGTCCATTACAATAGAATAGGTATTATGGTATAACACAAAAGAACTTATCATAATATCTCCGACTGAACTCTGAAACTAATTAAAATCTTGACCTCAAGTCTAAAGTGAGCCGATATCTTTCCTGTATAGCCCCAAGAACTTGATTTCTTGCCTTTTCTTACGCTAATACAACAGAAGCAAACAGTAACCCTCTATCTTGAGTGGCTCTTGGGCCTTATTGTATTGGGTGAACATTACACTGCAAAACATATATCTTTGGCGATAGGCTATTTGGATCTTCATTAAAAGACCAAGTTTGAACGGGTCTGTGACAGATGAAGAAATAGGGACTCTTCTGTTTCTTGTCTCGTAGAATCAACTAACATTAGTGGATAAACAACGGCTTGTTGAAACACCGGTTCTCGTATGATCACCAAAGTTAAGCAACGTCGAGCCTGGTTAATATCTAGATGCGTGACCGCTTGGGAATACCAGGCGCAGTAAGCTTGGAGGTGCGGGTGGTGTAATAGATAATGGTTCGGAATTGTTAGTCGGAGAGCCGAGTTCCAATTCAAGTTGGGTTCGTTATATTCACTTACGCTCAAATAGCCTTGGGAAAGGTATGAAATTCACCCCTTATACCCCAGCTAGTTGTGTCATTATTAAAGGAAGATATATATATATATATATATATATATATATATATATAATATATATAAGAGAGAGAGAGATATTAATAGCAAAGACTCGTTTGGAAAAAAACCTCCAGATAGTACAATTTGCAGATATGCCAATTAAACGTAGTGCTCAATACGCTACGCAGAGCGAGAATACTTAAATTCTCTCTCTCTTATATATATATATATATATATATGAATAAATAAAGGGCAAATTCTGTGCGTCCGCGTGACTGGAACCCCTCTAAATACCACACATATACCTTTTTGGAATGAGGATGAAACCAGGATTGAAAATCTGCCCTTCATCTGCTCCTTGAACATTCAGCATCGGGATTTGTGTCCTGATGAGGAAAAAACAGATAAAAGTTCAAATTTTCAAGTAACAGAAAAAAAAATAGTTATTTTAAGTTTTTAATTTATATTGAGTTTAAATAACACAAACTTTAAAAATTAAAAAAAAAAAAGTCTTTAAAATTCAGTTTAAATATCTCAAACTTTGAATTGAGTGAATAAATTTTATTTCTTCAAAATACCAAGGAATCAGTTAAAGTGAGAAGTTACGTGGAGTTTGTGATTTGAAGAACTCAATTTTCGGCCTGAATTGAAATTTCGACCCAAATCGTTCTTTTGACCAAAATTCTTCTAGCCCAATTCAGAGTTAAAATGAGGCTTTGAAGTTCCATAGAGTGAATTGAGGAATTCAAAGTTATTTCTTCAAAATTATCATTGCTGTTTTCTAAGTTGGTCCCTTCAGTTTTTGGCCGAGGACCCAATTAACCCTCCATATTAAGTGCGGCTTTTAAGCTAGTTCTATATATGCGAACAACACAGTATAGTTTAGTAGCTGCGTGTAAGCAACCTAAGTGAGGGTCCCTTTTTATTGACCATACTTATAAATACTTATTCCTCAGATTGAAAATAAAATGTTATTTGTAAGCTGGTGATGACAACTCTGTCCGGTATCCTGAACTTTTTATTAAAAAAACATTTTATGAGCGATTTGGCACTTCTAGAATCTCCTGATAGAAATAGGTTTTATTATCGATAGAATTCGCGACACAGAGGGACAATTAAACACAGAAATAACGATTCTGGAATTTATAACCGCGTCCGATTTACGATTTACTCTTATCCGTCATTCTAAAAAGACTCCAGAAATATATATTTTTAAAAAGCTGTAAAAACAATAATAGTAATAATACTAGTAGCACTACTAGTAGTATTAGTAATAATATTACTAATACTAGTAGTATTAGTAACAATATTGGAAATACGAGTAGTATTAGTAACAATATTGGTAATACGAGTAGTATTAGTCATAATATTGGTAATACGAGTAGTAATTTTATTTATTTAAAAGTCCCTGCCTATCTTGCACATTTCCGACTATATATATTTTCCCGCCTTTTCTTTCATTATTCTTTTCACCCCACGGGTTGGATTCACTCTTCGTCACATGTCGGTCGAGTTGTTCATTGACACAATCATCTGTAACAACTCCTGATAAGCGATTTAATTTTGATGTTGGCAGACTGTTCCACCCACACAACCTTCTCTGAGTGGGGTAAGAATAGTATGGCATAAAATGATAAAAAAATAACAATGCGACAGATTGGGGACCATTTAATGTTTTTATTTTGATTTGTGGGTGGGGAATAGGAACCCCACGCTGAGTAGTTTTACGCATGCGTGCTCATATCAGATAAAGGCTAGTATTGCGTGTTTGAATTAATATTCAAGATTCTTTGCTACTGTTGTGTGTGTGTGTTTTTTATACTACAGTTCACTCAATACAAGGCTCGAAAGCCACTCATGATAGAGGCTTACTGAACAAGTTGTGTGTTAAGATTATGGGGATAAGGAGGATAGAAAGTAATTGATCCGTGACTTAACCTCCTCTTGTAGTTGTTCTTCTTCGGGGGACTGTTTGGGCCTTACATACAATGTGCTTTCCAAAACCTGAAGAAATTTGAATAACCTGCACGACCTTTATAATTTACCTTAACATCAGAATTCTAGCGTCTCTTGAGAGATGTAAAAAGTGGTTTTAAATGTAAGTTTTCGGTGTGTGTACCTTTTGAGCTGTAAATAAACTGGCTCGGACGATTCTTCTTCTTTTATGTGCCGTGTCCCTTCAGGGCACGGGCGATCATGATCCTCCACATCTTCCTGTCCCTTGTAGCTCTTAATAAGTTTTCTCTTTTTGTTATTTCTCTCAAACCCAGTTTTGCCATCCATTTTCTCAAGCTCATCAAATATGTCACACGCTGCTTCCCCCTGTCGTTCTTTCCCTCATCTGTCCTGTGAGTATCAAGTTTTCCAAACCCTCCTTCCTCATTACGTGCCCCAGATATTTAAACTGCCTCTTCCTCATGTTAAGTATATCCTTTTATGTTTCCTTTTTCTCCAAAACCTCGTTGTTGCTCGTGTTCGCTCTGTTATCCTCAGCATCCTTTTATCAAAAATCCACCCGAAAGATGATTATTTGAAACACCCCTGTCATTAAATATTCAGAAAATGTCCTCGCACGCCATTAATTCAGGCTAGACGCATTCTAGAACATTACTGAAATTATTTATTTTAATTAAAGATTTGAACCCAAAATAAATTTCCATCTCCTTTTATTCAAGCCAAAACCCATTTCCATCTCCTTTTATTCAAGCCAAAACCCATTTCCATCTCCTTTTATTCAAGCCAAAACCCATTTCCATCTCCTTTTATTCAAGCCAAAACCCATTTCCATCTCCTTTTATTCAAGCCAAAACCCATTTCCATCTCCTTTTATTCAAGCCAAATTCCCATTTCCATCTCCTTTTATTCAAGCCAAAACCCATTTCCATCTCCTTTTTTCAAGCCAAAACCCATTTCCATCTCCTTTTATTCATTCAGCCAAAACCCATTTCCATCTCCTTTTATTCAAGCCAAAACCCATTTCCATCTCCTTTTATTCAAGCCAAAACCCATTTCCATCTCCTTTTATTCAAGCCAAAACCCATTTCCATCTCCTTTTATTCAAGCCAAAACCCATTTCCATCTCCTTTTATTCAAGCCAAAACCCATTTCCATCTCCTTTTATTCAAGCCAAAACCCATGTATTTAAAACTTGAGTATGTGGGCATAACTAGCATAATACGGTAAATAATTTCTAAAGAATTTATAGATTTTTATCTATTATTTCTTATTACTTGAAACATTAAAGAAAATGTACCCTCCAACAGGGTTCGAACCTGCTACCTCCTTTTATAGGATAAACCACTATCTAAAACCTGCTTGATCATACGATGGTTTCTTCTCTAAAGTCGTTGTTTATCTTTAGTTCACTCTTATGAGAATGTTCTTCTAAAGAATTTTCTGTTTCCAGTTTCTTCCTTTTTATACTTTTCGCCTCCTGATCACTTTCTTAGTTGGTATCAAATCCAATTCCTGTTGAATTCTCTGTAAACCTCTTTGCATAATATATCTAAACATGACGACTATTTCGTGTCTGACAAGAGCTTGACTGTAAGCGCATACCGGGGACTTTTCTATGTTTTTCACCAAAAGGGCAAATCACATTGTGTTCTGATTCTATTTTTGCGTCGGGGTGCGCAAAAAATGGGAAAATAACCCCGGTGTACACAGGCAATGAAACGTGAGATGAAATAACGCTACGATGAGAAATGAAAACGCGAATCCATTTTCCAAGATACTTGACTATTTATTCAATTGGTACGGCCTAGGGTTAGGTAAGCAACACATGGAATATTTTCATTAGACTAACAGACCAGATCTTCCATTCGGCCATTGTGAACACTTCCTCCTACCAACCCTCTATCCATCTCTACATGCGCGGATCACATCTCCCTAACGGGCAACCCTGATGTAACACTGATTCTATAAGCCTCCGACGGGAACTTCCGGCTAACTAGCACTTTATCCCGAAGGTTTTTACTTCGTTACTCTTTCATTTCGGTTAGTGAGTAGTAGCTTTCTAAAGTTTTCTGTCTATAATCCATTTCTGTCATACATGACCAAAACATAGTCTTTTCCTAAGATTGCAAAACATTTCATCGATAAAATAAAGGTATACACGCTGAAAAGTATTCTATATTCAAAAAACAATACACTGCTGCTATTACTCTAAAATCCAACTTAACCAAATCGGTCCCCTTTCCTGGAGAACTCGCTCAATTGACTGATCTGTGCTTGTAATCCATCTTCGCCCCCACCCCAGACAATGTTACACGAATGACCCAGAAATTTTGACAGCGGTAAGGATTTTCATATTCAGAAAATCAAGACCAATACGTGATATTTTTCCCTCCATAAGATGAGGATAAATTTGAAGGACCCCGTAAGTTCGGAATCATTGAATGTATCGAAAAGACAATGGAGATAATATTTTGTTATTCTGAAAGAATGAGAACAAAAACCATGTTGTTGTTTTTTTTAAATTCCACGTAAGTATTTTCTGATATGTACAATGAATTCTCCTTTCCAACATTTCTATAGTTAGAGATGCCCTTCGCCCCAAAAAAGAAAAAGGTCAAATTATTCAGCTGTCCCAGAGTGCCTAAAACATTTTTATTTCTGTCAACCACACGAGGTTTCCATTTCTGATTTGCTCACAAAATGCCAAGCCACTGGAGGCAAGAAATTGAATGACAGGAACACCACATGTCAACACCCGTTGTCAGTAATCCTGCTCTAAGCAACGATGTTTGATTAATGAAGAATCTTCAGATGCAATTTCTTTTTGCCGAATCAAATATGCTGTCATACATTTGCGATATCCTTCACCATTTTTATGTTCGACGATAAGATTTTTGTTTGCAGCTATTGAAT